ATGTGTCTTTTATCACAATTCATGCAATCGAGAGAAAATATAAGAAATACACAACGTTTTAAATATGTATGTAAGATTAGGGTCAGGAATAGTGGATAGGGAGAGAGGCTAATCCACTTTTCGTCGTACATATAGGATTTAAAAAGTTTGTACTTACGCGTCACGGTCACGCCACATTATCTCGTTTACACAGTTGACCTGCGCCTTTTCACAGGAATTGCAGAGGAGATTGGACCAGACCCTGGGCAAACCGGGCAGCTACCTGGCGGGAATCGACCGAGCAGGGAACGTGAAACCAATGACTATAGGCGCACGCTTATACAGGGTGGAACAACAGGTGAGTTCTTGATTCACGTTTACATCGTCATTTTACCAAACCGTGAAACTGTGAAAATTAGAAAGAAATCGGGTGTGGCGACAGTATTTTAAGAAAGCGTTTCTCTTAAGTCTCGCGTGGAACCAAGCGAGGCCGTAAATCTGTGAAGCAGATTTCGTCCCGACTCTTGAATAGTCGGTGGAACATGTTTAGAGAGGTCGTAAAATTCGGTGTGCGAATTAGTGCGGCTTAGCCACCGAAACAATAATTTCGGATAGGGATGTAGTTCTCAAGACGGATTACGACTGAGTCGAATAAACTTGATACTCGGAAATCTCAAATACTCAATTCCTGTTGAAGAGAATTCTAAAAATTATTATTTTTATTTTCATAAATTTGGAAATTCGCTAAAGTTCTTCGACCCGTTCCAATGTTCATAAAATCGAGTATCCATATGAAATAAATTTGTTTAATTAAACGACCGTGAACGTTTCACCTCGACTAAAAGTCCTTTTATCCGATGACCCGGTACATACATGAGAATACACGTTTCTGTTCGCAGTTGTCCGTGATGGACAAGAAATTGGACCAGCTGGTGTACGTGCTGAACGCGGTGGCACAGAAGCAGCAAATACCGCTGAGGAGCGTGGAGGACGAGGTGTAACGTAGATCCCGGGAAGCTCTTGTGAAAGCTCGCGCCGTCTGCGTTCGTCGACTCGGACCCGTGTCACCTAGAGAACCACCGCTACGTACGGTGGACACGCGGCCGGATCGATGTCCCGGATCAGGCGGGTCGATCCGCCGGAACGCCATGAATCGTGAACCGGGGATTCAAACGGGGACCGAAGACACGGACAATTTTATCGGAGTTTTCTTTCCCTCGTTTCTTATTTATCGACTAAGCTCGTTGATCGAGTGCCCATTGGAAGAACGATGAATCGCAGGAGAGACGAACGGACGACGGATCGATAACGTCCTAACGAGGATTCGTGAGCGGGTCTCTTCAGGTAAAGGAAACGAAGATGACGAGACCTGTTTAAAATTACGAAGGGCTGGTCCTATGATGTACTGGACAGTTGGTACAGTGTCGTGGATTTAATACTAGTGAATAAGTTGGTGCGAAGAGGACCAATTAATACGAGAATTTGTGATAAAGTTGGTTTAGACGTTCGGAGACGAGTAATGAAGACAATTTTCTTTTTTGTTTTTAAAAAAACAAAACAACCGATGAACTGGATTAATCCTCTGTAGCTTCCTTTATTTAAACGCTCTCGATCCAGCTTCTAAGTAGACTAAACCGCAGGGACTAAAATGTCGCGTGCGAGATTAACAGACGCGAGCGTATCCATAGTTAATCAGCGGATCGTCCGGCGAGCAAACCCGCATTTCAGATGATTCGAGGAAAAACGAGGAGGACGTTTCTATCGAGATCTCTTCGGAAATTAAGGGAACCTCTTTTTTAATCCATGCGACGGGCTCCTCCCGTGAGGAAGTAATCGCGGGGGATCGGAAAACTCGTGCAACTTGTTTCGAGTTGCTCTTAACGGAATCAGTGGTCTTCGGAGAACTCGCGAAACGATCACAGTTAAACGCACAGAAACGTTTGTTCGCTTCGGACCAACGGTGAACGCTGTCACACACGAACGGGGGCGTTGAGAATGCAGATAAATAAACAAATCGATATCTTGGCGCGTTGGCGAAGATCAATCGCGACTTCGGATCGATCGACGAACTGAACGAGGTCGCCGAGATCTAAGAATTGTCCGAGCAAGCAGGAAACGAGTCTATCAGAACGAAGAAATTGGTGGAAACATATTGGGAACATCACTTGGGCCAACCATATACATAATGTAATTGTATACATATTTACGGATACAAACTTCTAGTCTCCTGCTGGTAATAACAAGCAATTATTAAGCTTTAATCACGAACTTGAAAATATTCCTTGCTAGCCTAGTTAAAAACGAAATCAGACGTTACAACGTTAACCGCGTGCACAGGCTACACGCATTTTATTATCATAAGAATAATTTCTTCGAAATCATGTTTCTCATTTTATTATTTTCTCTTCTCAACCGTTTTCTGAATCTAATGGAAATACTTTTAACAATCATGATTAGTACATTTTTCTTTTATCATATTTTATTCTTGCAACAAAGTTTTCTGATCTCAGATATTAAATCATAAAAATCATTATTATACTCGAGTCTATTATAATTAACAAATATAAATTTTGTAGCCACGAATGTAAAAAAAAAACCAAGATAATTTATAGCATAGTGCTATATTAAAAAAAGTTCAACAAAAAAAAAAAGAAAACAGAATGGAATTATATTCTGCATATGTATAAATACAATTTATATTTTCTACGTAGGCTATCGGCAATACGCGAAGTATAAAAAAAATTCGTGCTGTAACGAACATTGCTATCGGTACTGTAAAATGTAATATATGTGCAGGTCCGTAATTACTTTTGCACGGTGTGTGTGTGAAACAGACCAAACAATTTTCCTCCCTCCGCCTCCCCTGACCAGCTTCCAGTATAGAGAAGCTCTCACGTTCCTATTAATCATTTCCTTTGCCTCGATTATGCATTGGTTTATTCTATGGAAAATCAGAAGGCTTTCGCCCGGAAGCCCACTTTTCTCATGCATATTAAATTGTTATTAATTTTCGACGACCCGAAAAAAACTGCATAGAAACGAGCGCGCGCTCGCAAAGCATTGCGTCACGTCCTATTCTAATATCGACTGCTCGCCACCCTCTCCCTGTCTCGCTCGCTCCCTCTTTTTCGAGGGTGGTTCAATCGATCTCTGCGCAGGAAGGACCAGTCTCTTGTTAACTAGGATAACGTTCATCGCCGACCGATCGACGCAGAGCAATCTTACAGAATAACTCTTGGAATATACATATACATATATTATATATACATATATTTAAAAACTACAGTTAATCGAGTAGACGTATTACACGTTTCGTATCTTTCTAAACAATTGTAATATATCCTCTTCTTTTGTAATTAATTCCATTCCACTAAGCTGAAAGCTATAATCATTTTTAATCGTAGGGTTCCTCCTTGAAATTATTTTTAAACAAAAAAAAAGGTACTATCGATTAATCGAGATTAAAGTAATAGGGATTAGATTTAAACGATTATAGTGCACTTAAAGAATTTATAGATAAAAATTAGCGGAGATCGTAGGGGTATTTTCAGTAGCTAAGGGATGATCAAATCAAAAAGACACGTTCCTCTTTCTGTTTCTCCTCTATCGTTCCTTCGGACATTACCGTACGACGCCTCGAACAGTTCTAATTTTTTTCTAATTAAGAACGTAGCTGAATTACGACCAAATCTGACCCAGCAATGTGTCGTTAGTCAACACTCGTTTCATAGGACTTAGGATCAGTACGACGAATGCGGGTGAACATGAATGGAATTATATTCTGCATATGTATAAATACAATTTATATTTTCTACGTAGGCTATCGGCAATACGCGAAGTATAAAAAAAATTCGTGCTGTAACGAACATTGCTATCGGTACTGTAAAATGTAATATATGTGCAGGTCCGTAATTACTTTTGCACGGTGTGTGTGTGAAACAGACCAAACAATTTTCCTCCCTCCGCCTCCCCTGACCAGCTTCCAGTATAGAGAAGCTCTCACGTTCCTATTAATCATTTCCTTTGCCTCGATTATGCATTGGTTTATTCTATGGAAAATCAGAAGGCTTTCGCCCGGAAGCCCACTTTTCTCATGCATATTAAATTGTTATTAATTTTCGACGACCCGAAAAAAACTGCATAGAAACGAGCGCGCGCTCGCAAAGCATTGCGTCACGTCCTATTCTAATATCGACTGCTCGCCACCCTCTCCCTGTCTCGCTCGCTCCCTCTTTTTCGAGGGTGGTTCAATCGATCTCTGCGCAGGAAGGACCAGTCTCTTGTTAACTAGGATAACGTTCATCGCCGACCGATCGACGCAGAGCAATCTTACAGAATAACTCTTGGAATATACATATACATATATTATATATACATATATTTAAAAACTACAGTTAATCGAGTAGACGTATTACACGTTTCGTATCTTTCTAAACAATTGTAATATATCCTCTTCTTTTGTAATTAATTCCATTCCACTAAGCTGAAAGCTATAATCATTTTTAATCGTAGGGTTCCTCCTTGAAATTATTTTTAAACAAAAAAAAAGGTACTATCGATTAATCGAGATTAAAGTAATAGGGATTAGATTTAAACGATTATAGTGCACTTAAAGAATTTATAGATAAAAATTAGCGGAGATCGTAGGGGTATTTTCAGTAGCTAAGGGATGATCAAATCAAAAAGACACGTTCCTCTTTCTGTTTCTCCTCTATCGTTCCTTCGGACATTACCGTACGACGCCTCGAACAGTTCTAATTTTTTTCTAATTAAGAACGTAGCTGAATTACGACCAAATCTGACCCAGCAATGTGTCGTTAGTCAACACTCGTTTCATAGGACTTAGGATCAGTACGACGAATGCGGGTGAACAAATAATAATAATAATAATAATAATAATAATAATAATAATAATATTGTATAAAACGCGTCCGAGAGCATGTCGTCGTTACGATACGTTATAAATATTATATAAAAATTCTATGGTGCCTCTCACTCGATTAGCTCCACTGAAAAATGAAAAAAAGCAACTGATAAATTATATGCGATAGAATATTAGAATTAAGATAGCGTTGTAAATAATATTATTAGGAGACCTCGTAAGGATTATTATCAAATTATATATTATATCGACATTTAAGTAATGTTATAAATAATACGGATTCTGTTTAAAAAAAAAACATGATCTTTTAAATATTATTGGACTTGAATTATTTTTCTAATTCGAGATTGATTTTAATATAAGCTGTTCGTTTGCTGTTCACACGCAGAAGAGAATCGTATTATTTATAAGATGACTTGTTATAATATTGTGCTGGCAATATACACGACACACACGCATAGAAAGGTACGCTGCGAATTTTTCAATTTCGTAAAGCGAAGTCGTTCGGCGTTAGTTCCTTTCGTCCGTGCCGAGAAAACGTTCCTCGTTGAGTAAACATAAAATTACACGTTGCAGTCTTCGTAGCGAGGAAAAAGCAAACTTAACACGCGTACTTAAATAAATGCGTAGACGCATAAAATTAAAATGAATTCTTGTAAATAAAGTGATAGAGGAAATTATTTAAAAGGCGGTGCAGTTTCGTTAGACATAGGCGAAGCTATGAAATATATTTTACGAAGTAAAAAAAAAAAAAGTCGATTTGCTTTCACGTCGAGTAATTTGGAAAAATCGGACGGTGTATTTAGGGAGAGTCCAACGAGAAACGTTTTTCACGATCTCGGAGCTCTGTTTCGTTCGATCCTGAAATCGAATTAATCGACCAAAGAGCGGGAGGACGGAATACCTAAATGAGAATATTTCGCTATTTAAAAAAAAAAAAAAACGCGGATGACGATTATTATATATAAATTGCCGACCACGAGTAGTGACAATCAACAAATGTGAACGCGCGCATGAAACAATAAATAAATATTTAAAAGGGATCTTGATTATTTACGATACTGTTAGTATATCCTCGCGAGCGACGGCGACGACGTCCGTCGATAAACCGTGTATCGATGAATCACATCTTCGAATTTCTGAAACACCTCTGGGAACACTTTAGCGTAAATTAAGCGTCCATCGTGCAAAACTGCAGCTTTCAATCGGCGGTAGCCCCTAATTAGAATTTTCCGATTAATTAGGGATCGGATTTTGCAATTGAGTCACCAGTCCTTCCGACGATTTCGCATTATTTAAATTAAAAAGAAAGCCTGATTTCCAAAAAATATTTATCTAAATCTCAGATCTCACTGTACAATCGATTGGAAATTAGGTACAGAATTAAATGATTGTTTTATGGACAATTATTTCCGCGGGTTGTATGCTCTTTTTTGTAGGACGTCGACGAAAGCGTCCAGACGTGGTACCAATCAGTTAAGGATGTATTGGCTATACAGTCAATCCCAAAAGTTTACGTACCGTAGAAAAACGCATTTCCTATAATTAAAAAGAAATTAGACGTCGGAAGAATAATGCTAATAATAAATAGCTACGTGCTAAAAAGTATAGAAGGAAATATCCAATTAAGAATTGACGCAGACGAAAATTTATTTTTCCAAAATTGCGAAAAATGATTCAAATAAAAGTTGTTTTTCTTCTAACTTCGATATTTAACGAGTTCGGGAAGATGGCATAGGACCTTTCTTGTAAAGGACGACGAGATCTACAATTTCTATATAACAGTTTTTCGCTAGCATCAATAGTTTACGAGTAATTTGCAAAAAACTGTTTTTCGTTTTTCGCCTATAACTCGTTAACCATTGACACTAGTGAATTCTTTCTGCACAGAAATTGTAGATCTCGTCACCCCCTACAAAATGAGCGTAAATACGCCCCCCCTACGTCCATCCGTTCGGGAGTTATTGACGAAAAACGAAATGTCTTGTCAAAAGCGAAAGTGCTTGGCTCCAATGAATTTGGAAGTTGCTCGTGGCGCCATCTAGCGTTCACGGCTGCCTACCCACTTTTCAGTCTGGTGCAGCAATGTTGGACAATATTTTCCTTTTTTGTTAATAACTCCCGAACGGATGGACGTAGGGGGGCGTATTTAGGCTCATTTTGTAGGGGACGACGAGATCTACAATTTTTGCGTAAAAAGAATTCGCTAGTGCCAATAGTTACCGAGTTATTTGCAAAAAACTGTTTTTCGGTTTTTCGCTAATAACTTCCAAACGGATGGTCTTAGGGGGACGTTTGTAGGCTCATTTTGTAGGGGACGACGAGATCTACAATTTCTGCGTAAAAAGAATTCGCTAGTGCCAATAGTTACCGAGTTATTTGCAAAAAACTGTTT